AAACCTGCAGAGAGGCGTACTCCAATCAAACATACTGATAATCTTTATCCAGAAGGAGAGTTTATTGGAAAACCAAAGGAAGACGTTCCATTAAAAGGCGATCGAGCTGATGTAAGGAAACCAAAGGATAACCTTCGTCCTGAAGGAGAATTCGCGAAACGTACACCTTCGAAGAAAATAGAACCGGCCGAGCGAAGAACTCCGATCAAACACGAAGACAATTTGCAACCTGAGGGCGACTTCTACATAGTTCCCAAGGACGATTTTAGTCCAAAACGAGGAGAGCGCTCACCAGTGAAGAAACCTCAGGATAATCTTCGTCCCGAGGGTAAAATGGAAATATCTCCGAAAGACGATTACAAACATGTAAATGGGGAACGTGTAGTTGTGCGTCGACACGAAGATAACTTGCGGATGGAGGGACAATTGGATATTCATCGCTCGAGAGATGATTATAAAAAAATCACAAAAGTAGAGAAAGTTGACATTAAGAGGTACGAAGATAATATCAAAATGGAAGGTGAATTCGAGCGACCAAAACCTGAGGAATTCCAACCTGCAGAAAAGCGCTCTCCAATTAAACATCCAGATAGTTTGAAAATGGAAGGAGAATTTCAACGTCCCGAACACGAAGGTTATCGACCAGCAGAGAGACCACAAGTCAAGAAGCCAACAGACAATCTTCGTCCCGAAGGTGATTTTGAACGTCCAGAAAAATCACGCACGCCAGTTGGTCCCGCTGAACGACGATCGCCCATCAAGCATCCTGATAATCTTTATACAGAAGGAGATTTCGTTGGTAGACCGAAAAAGGACGCGCCGGTAAAAGGCGAGCGAGCGGATGTGAAAAAACCGAAGGACACCCTTCGTCCTGAAGGAGAATTCGCGAAACGTACACCTCCGAAGAAAGTTCAACCGGCCGAGCGAAGAACTCCGATCAAACACGAGGACAATTTGCAACCTGAGGGCGACTTGTACATAGTTCCCAAGGATGATTTTACTCCAAAACGAGGAGAACGTTCACCAATAAAGAAACCTCAGGATAATCTTCGTCCCGAGGGTGAAATGGAAATTTCTCCAAAAGACGATTACAAACATGTAAATGGAGAACGTGTAGTTGTGCGTCGACACGAGGATAACCTGCGTATGGAGGGAAAGATGGATATTCACCGTTCGAGAGATGATTATAAGAAAATAACTAGAGTAGAGAAAGTTGACATCAAGAAACACGAGGACACTCTCAAGATGGAAGGTGAATTCATCGACGTACGTCGCAAAGATGATTATGTACACGTAGTTGGTGAGCGTTTGCCAGTTATAAAACATCCGGATCATTTGCAATCAGAAGGAGACTTTTACATACCTCAGAAGACTGTGGTTGGTCCTGCGGAAAAGAGAACACCGATCAAACATCCCGACAACCTGAAACCAGAAGGCGAATTTGTGCAACGACCGAAAGAATCCGCGCCTACTAAAGGTGACCGAGCCGTCGTTCGAAAGCCTAAGGACAACATCAAACTTGAAGGTGAATTCGACCTCGAAAGACCAGTAAAATCGCCTATCGGTCCCGCTGAACGACGATCACCGATCAAGCATCCTGACAATCTCCATCTAGAAGGGGAGTTTGTTGGTAGACCGAAAAAAGACGCGCCGGTAAAAGGCGAGCGAGCGGACGTGAAAAAACCGAAGGACACCCTTCGTCCTGAAGGAGAATTCGCGAAACGCACGTTACACACACCGAAGAAGGTAGAACCGGCCGAACGAAGAACTCCGATCAAACACGAGGACAATTTGCAACCTGAAGGTGACTTCTACATAGTTCCTAAAGATGACTTCACTCCGAAGCGAGGAGATCGCGTACCGGTGAAGAAACCGCAAGATAATCTTCGTCCTGAAGGTGAAATGGAAGTTTCTCCGAAAGACGATTACAAATACGTGAATGGCGAACGTGTAGCGGTGCGTCGACACGAGGACAACCTGCGTATGGAGGGACAGATGGATATTCACCGTTCGAGAGATGATTATAAGAAGATAACTAGAATGGAGAAAGTTGACATCAAGAAACACGAGGACAGTCTTAAGATGGAAGGTGAATTTATTGACGTGCGTCGCAAAGACGATTACACGCACGTAGCACGTGGCGAACGTATGCCGATTAAAAAACATCCGGACCATTTACGACCAGAAGGAGATTTTTACAGACCTCAGAAGACCGTGGTTGGTCCTGCGGAAAAAAGAACGCCAATCAAACATCCTGATCACTTGAAACCGGAAGGCGACTTCGTCGGACGTCCGCGCGATGATTTCACTCCCAAGAGAGTAACAAGAGCCGAAGTCGTAAGGAGAGAAGATAACTTGAAGATGACAGGTGATTTCGAAGGCACGACGTCTCATAAATCGACTTATACGGTAGTACGTGGCGAACGTGCGGATATCAAGTCGCACGAGGACAATTTGAAACTCAGCAGTGCTACCATGGAAACGAAAACTACCAACAGAGATACATACACACCCTCTAAGCAGGAACTGTCGCTCGCAGGCAAAACAGTGAATCGTCGCAAGCACATGGAATCGTCTTTCACGCTCGGTGATGACACCACCGTGATGACCACGACGAATCAGCGTAACTACAACACTTACACAAGGCGTACAGGAAAAGACGTTGCCGCAAAGATGAGCCAGATGGAATCCGACAGCAGAAAGACCGTGGAATCGCAAACAGACGGATCTGTCGTTACGACGGTGAGACGTACGACAACTTCCGCGACTCAGTCCGATCAGAAAGTCGCTAACGCTCAAACTCATCAACAAACACAGTTTGTTGTCGATCGTCGCGTCACCCAACCGATCGACGGTCCTTCGTCCGGGCTGCAACCTGTGGATTCACAAAAGTTAACTTCTGTGATATCCAATCAGCATCACGAACAACATAAGAGAACGCACTCGAGCGAGCAACATTTGCGATCACAGAATGTGATGCAGACTCGTAGAAGCGTCGAAGACAGATCGATCACAGAAGGTTTACATCATCGAGGACAGATCGTGCGAGGAGAGGAGACGTCTCGTCAAGTGGTCGAATCTGACGAGCACAGACAGCACAAGCAGCAACATACCGAACGTCATCATCAAGAAGTCAGCAAGCGCGATTACGTGAACACACAACACATGGAAAGTCGGCAGAGATCAGCCACGAAGCAACACGAGCAGCACACGATCTCCAGCCAGGCACGATATCATTCGACCAGTCCGGAATTCCGGCAAATGATCAACGGACAAACGTCCACAGAAAGCTCGCAAGTGGACTCGGTCGCGAATAAAAGTCACCATCGCAAGAACGTGATATCCTCGTCGTCGGCGGACATCAGCAACGCGGTGCTACATCGACGTGGCGCGACTACATCCACCGAGGCGCTTCACACGATCTCGTCGACGGCGGCTGATCAGCGCAAGAGCATCTCGAATCTAGCCGAGAGCGGTCAGTACATCAGCAACTCAAGCCAGAGCAGCGACAGGCGTAGCCTGACGTCTCTGCATCGCAGCTCGAGGGATGTGAATCCTTGGGCCTCGTCCAGTTACGAGCGTCCGCAGCGAATCGTACGACAGGACAATCTGACCGTAGGTGGCAAGTTTTACTCGCAGAGCGAGGCGAAGAGCTACGGTAACTTTTCTCAGAGCACGCAAAAGGTGGAGAGAGTCCATAGACAGACGAATGTGTCTCACATCGATTTGAGCGACGGCAGCACCGTTACATCCAGCATGTACAAGAAGGAATACGTTCCCAGGCACAGAGGACCGTGTCCGGCCGCTCTTCTGGAAGCCAAGCAGGCGCCCTTCAAACACACCAGAGACACGCGCAAACACAAGTTTTACATGCCCGTTTTAACCAGTTAAAACCCACTTGTTCGAGCTGAACATTAAATTTTTCTCGAAATCACATGACATTCTGTAACAGCGAAACATTTTTTTTGTCTATACAAAAACATACAACCTAGAAACAATTATTTCTGCATAAAATATAGAACATATATTTATATACTTTTTATTTTCTTAATATGCTGACACTTAATCGACGATCTGAAAAAAAAAAAGAAATATTGTTTTCGAAATTTATATGCGAGCTGTGATAAACTTGTGCTGTTGAAAATTTTCTTTAGTTTTTTTTTTATAACTGTTATAAAAATTATGTATCGACAAAACGCGAAATTGCAAGTGTATGTGTGTACGTACGTATTTGTGTACGTACTTAGTCGTTTTCAAATTTACGCGATATTGAGAGAAGTTTATCAGTTGTTGTCGTCGTAAACATATCTGTCTTGGAGTAATAAACAAACTGATACTGTGAACATTACGATTCGTATATACGTTCGTATATATGAGTCACAGAGATACGTGCGTACGTATTTTAAAGTAAGGACATGCATATGTTATTACTCATTTTTTTATCTGTCGATGACAGATGGATTCGCGTTCGTTTACACATCTTTAAGAAGAGAATTTTACTATTTCTTCTTAACTACGTGCACAAAGCAATAACTAGAGCTTAAGTCTAAGACACGAGCGAATCTGATGAAAATCAGTTTCGTCCGATTACGTATTATAGGATACTAATATGCGTTACATTCTATTCCTACGGGACTTTACGCGGTGTAATACGAAGTTTTTACGCGGGCGAGGGAGAAGAGTCCGTTTCGCTTTATACGTTTTATTTACTTCCCAGCTTTATGTTTTTTTTTTTTTATGTGTTAACGCACATAGCATTACATTCCGCATCTTTATATCCTCGCAGCATTTAAATCAAATCGATCGCAAGGATACGTTCTTTTTTTCTTTTTGTTATAATTTATGTTGTAGAACAAACATAATTCGGCTGCTGCTTAATATATGATGCTTATTATTTACTTTATGTTAACCATTTGTTTTATCAGTTGAAATAAAAAATTGATTTGTAATCATTTGTCGCGTGAGAGTTTTATTTATTTTCCTTTTACGTAATAAGAGAGATACTCGTTACATATCGGTGTATAGAGAGTTGTCATAGATAATATTTAAATGTGTAAGAAGATTAGAAAAAATATAGCTGAATGGTATTGAGACAAAAAAGTGTCGTTTGTTTATATTCCGGAAATCTCGGAAATGTAAAAGATTATCATCGTTTATATCGTAAAAGATTAAGTAACATTTTCTGCACAAAATATCGAACGCGATAATGTATATACGTACATTGAAACGATAATCGGATCAATATACATGACCATAGGCTGTTCGCGGGTAATGTGAACGGATTAAGCTTTTATGGTTCATGAAGAAAACTGTCTCGCGCGGTTGTGTTGTTTCGAAGCTTTGTTGAAATTTGACTTACAAAATATTAGGTACTCTGGCTCTGGCGCGTATGCCAGGTTTTACGCGCCGTAGAGATAAGATAAGCGTAAAAAAAAAAAAAAAAAAAAGTATTATATATTTTTTACTATATTTTTGTAGCTGTGTTGTATATGTGTATACAATTCGCGTAATAAGCAAGTGCATCGATCGTATTGGTGTCACGTATAAATTAAAACGTTATACAGTGTGTACAGTCGGAGTACAATGATTTGTTATAATTGTATGTGACATTAGCTTACAAAATGATACAATAGCGATAAATAAAAAATAAGTAAAAACGTATAGGTACAGTTTTTATATTGTTCGTTTTGTCATTGTTTGTTGTTTTGTGTTATTTTTATTTGTGTTATTTTTATTTCAATTTTGTTTTTCTTCCAAGGAGAGAGAGATAGAAATTTTATATATATTTTATTTTTTATGTATATAAAAAACTCTTGTGCGCTTTGAAATTGAAATTTCTCTATCTCTTACATATTTTACATTCATAATTTTTCACACAGACCTTCACCCACTTTTGCAAACTGCACTGCGTTCGTTTGAATCACTTTCTTTCTATTTTTGCGCGAACAACCTGAGTAAAATTTCTCAGCGAACGAACAGTTTCTGCGTGTTGTTCTGCGCGAGCAAAAGAGTCAAAAATTATAAATTATTTAGTAAGTCAGAAGAAGATGTCATATGCAAGGGAATAAGTAAGGCGCTTCGAAGCTGCTTTACCGTTACTACCTGTTTCTCAGAGGATATTTCGTTCTTTTCGTCTTCTCTCCTTCTGCCTTCGTCGTCACGCTCTCGGGATATAAACAAGCATGTTTCCAGCGCCCGTGGGTAGCTACGAGTGCTTTTTTTTTCTCTCTCCTCCGTTCATCCTCTTTTCTATAGTTTTGCGCGCGGTTCTTTGATTTCTTCTGTGTGAGATCAAGAGGATTGTTAACCCTCGGCAATGAGGTTGCCGAAAATTTCACGTTTCGGAATTGGAAGTTTCACTTCGGACTACTTTCGTGTCCTTCTCCTCGCGAAAATTACAGGTTGCGCCTCTAATTATTTGATCGTTGAAATTTGTTCGGCGAATCGACTTTCAATGTGACCGATCGGAAGGAACGTTTTATTTCGATAACGAAAGCCTGTGAAAAACTTTCTATGCGCCGATGCGCGCGTAAGCGAGTCGTGACGGTCGACGTTGCAAGAAACGACTGCTCTTACAAATTAACCATAAAAAATTTAAAAGTGGTTGTCGATTGAAACAAGTTGTACATCTGTTCTGACAATTCCAGATTTGTTACAACGTTAAATATTGTCAATGTTTTAATACATCTGTAATTTACAGTTTTTTAATAGCTCAAATATATAGTTCAAGTTTCGGTCTTCGATCGCAACAGACGTTTTGCAACTCGTGGAATAATAATTTCTTTGTCACTTATCGCTGATTATACATACATATATACGATAGATGCAATTAAAGCAGCGCCAACATACCGTTACGTAGCGGCTTCTCTCACTCGACTCGTTTCATTGATGTTACATAAATAATTAATTGTGCGGGCAACGATCTAGTTACATCGAACGATTAAGATGTCGATCTATTAACCGCTAATCGACGGTGATGGTAATTACACGGCGCGTCCGCGAAGTGGCACGATTCTGAGAGGAAGCAGAGATCATTACCCTCTTTCACGACTATATATATATATATATATATATATATATACGTGCAGTTCTTCGCGCTGCAGAGAAAAAGTCGTGACAAGAAGTCCATATAAAATCGAAAGGACGATCTTAACGCGCGCGATTACAGTCACACATATTAGCTCAATGCGTATCGAGGATGCGTTTGTTGCGTTGCCGTTATACGAAACGAGTGTATCGACGAGCGCACACACGCGCTTCGATGACGTGTGTGTGTAACTTCGCGCGATCTCGTACACGAGCAAGAAATAAAACGTGCAAAGCGACAAAATCACAAAACAACGTCGTCCTATTAACCGGGTAATCGACGAGTTGTCGTCGTTGTCATCGTCGTCTAGACCTCGAAGTGGTACGATTCAGAAATGGCCAGCCACGCCGAGAGCGTTGTCCTCTTTTGCGCGCTGCCGGAGTGCCCCGCTACCTGCAAGCGATTCGTAAAGTCACCTGCCGCATACCTACCTACCTGTCTGCCTCCGCGAGCGCTCATTCACCTCTCTCTCTCTCTCTCTCTCTCTCTTTCTCTTCCCTTCTCTTTTTTTCCGCTTGCTGCCGCGTCTCGCCGCCACCGTCGCGAAAAAAACATTCGCTTTCACGAAAGTTCGCGGGACTCGACGTACGCTTGAGAGAGGATGTTGCGAGGAAACATCTTTGCGGTGAAATCCGCGACTTCTGCGTTTTCTTCCGCGCGGAAAGTTGAAACAGAGAGAAAGAGAGAAAGACGTTCGTGCCGCGCGAGTTTGGTACACACGACGCGTAAAATACAAAAATCTGAAAAGAGATCATCTCGCGCGATTTCTCGCGCAAACGCTCGTCTCTCATTATCGCAGTGAAATCTCCGACACAGATTGTATTCTTTTCCCGAGGCATCCCGAAGTACATTTTTCTCAGAATCGGCGGATTGGAATCGCTGCCGATTGCCGCGGCAAAAAGTAGACGTGCGAGTCTCCGCCTAGAACATCGCGATTCCTTCCGTTGCGTCGCTAGGCGAAAACGGCGATAATGTCAAAAGATTCTGAGGAATCTCTGCCGACGAGTTGCTGAACAAAATTCTTAGCACGTGGCCTCGTTGCACCGTTGCTCGCGCCGATTTGCCGTCTTTCTGTATGTGTGTGTACGTACATATACATACGGAGTTCCTAGTTGTATGTGGAGAGAGACCCACGTCATGGCTCAACTTTCTGTCAAATAGAATCCCTCGCTCGGAATCGCGACCGCCATGGTCGTTGCCGTTAAACGACCGAATTCGATACGCCCGCGATTGCCGCCCGATCAAAGCGTCGATTTTCTATTACACCGATTTCACGCGCTCGTGCGTGAACGCAGGCTGGCGGCGCGTTGCGATTTTGCGGTCGCGAGACTGTTCATTAGCGTGTCCCTTTATTTATAGAGCGTTTTCTTTACGTTGCATCACGAGAGGTGCATTTCACCTCTCGTCTCTGTAGTTTTACGACAGTACAACCCTGAGAAGAGTGCGCGCGGAATTTAGATCGAAAAACGAGCGAGTAACACGAAAAAACGTTAATCCTCTTTCTATATAAAAAATTCATGTGTACCGCAAAGTGCGCGTTTCGATATCGAATGTATCGCATCTATTGTTGTCTCTTTTCCGCGTTGCCGATTAGTTGGTTGATCAAGTCGAGTCGAGTCGAATCGAATCGGTAAGATCGAGAGAGTAAATAATGACAGAAAAGCGATTTTGACAGTTCGTCGTATACGTGGAGAAAATTAAAAACGTGACTAAAGTAAAGTCACTTGACAGAAAAAAGTAGGAAAACAACACGTGACTATTTAAAGTAACAAGATTGTAATTTATATTATATATAACATTAAATAATATATATTATACATACAATTTATTATATATAGTATAATATAAAGTATAATACATATAATTTATTATATATAGTATAATATAAAGTATAATATTATACTTTATATTGTATATTATATATATTATGTGC